TTCGTCTTCTGGTCCGTCGTAACCTGGTTCGACCGCTTCCCAGTGTTTACGTTTCTTCAGGGTCAATTTCACTCGGTGACTCCAAATGACATAATTTTCTTCATTAAGAGGCACAATTCGTCTTCTGAATACCTCTTCTGTCGTCATTCTGAAGCAATTATCCACAAACCGTCGTCAAAATGGGGACTTCACGTTCACGTCAATCACGTCCATGTGCACGAAAACTGCACTCACGGCACAATTCACTTGAACATTGAAAATTCCGAACTTAATTCATTAAGATAGCGTAATCTGGGCACAATAACCTGTTGAACTAAATAATTGAAGAATTCACGTCATTGAATTAAGTATTTATTAAAGGAAATTGACAGCACGTCGTTACACGTTTTTAGCAAGAAACGTAGAAGTGAGGTTAGGAGATCAGAGAAAAAGAAAGAGAGGATACAGTAGGAAGTGTTGCCTAACTGTAAGGCTGAACAGTACATTCTAACACCTTTCAAAAATATTACTCACATCGTGAAAACGGTCACAGGCTTCTCGACCCGAGTCAAACTACAACTGACTCCCCAGCGGCTCAGGGCACGCCATCTCTGATTGGTCGATCCATCATCATTCGGCAACTGCAACCAATCAGAGATGCCCCGTCCAGAACCACTGGGGATGTGTCGCCCTCTGGCGAAACTACTAGAGAGCCATTCTCTCTGATACATTACCGTGCTACAATGATTGGCCGATATGCTACATGTTTAGCTCTTCATAGTATCATGATTTAAAGCCTTGGTGTCCTTCATGAATTGTGTTCAGGGTTTCCTTTTGGAGTGTTTTAGGAACAACAGTGCTATTTACTTTAAAGATACGATCATTGTGGACAGTGATTTAATCTCTAATTTAAAAAAAACGGTGCTACTGTCAGAAAGGGCATATGGGACGTAAACACAGAAAGGTAGTCAGAGAAACATGGGAGACATAATTATATTAACAGTATGGAGGAAGAGAACAGCTTCGATGTGGACAGTTACATTTCCGATTCGCGAGTGCCAACAGCTAAATTCATGACTGCACTCTAGAGGAAAAAAACAATTGAGAGCGCGAAGCTCTCATGTTGAAATATTGTCAACAACTTAGAGTGACGAAGTTCTAAATTCCAACAGCCTCCCTTAATTTGTGACCTATTTTTAAAAATAAAAAATAAAATTGGGAGCAAATTAGGATCCAACATTGGTGAGACACCAAACTGAAAAATCAAAAAGAAATTATGCAATTAGAAGTGAAAAAATAGATTCAGCCTCCATGGATCAGTTGTTGGATTACTGTAGCTGAATAGAAAAAACATAGCTTCCCTTAATCTTAAAAACTAAGGTAATATTAAATACAAAACAAAATTATATTACCTAGCGAATTTCGGTATGTATCGTCAGAACATAACATAATATGAGTAATTTACCGTCACCTCAAATTTGTTTATTAGATTATCAATTTAATATATTTTGGTGCAAATATATGTATAGCACCAGTATGAGTTAAACATGGGTAAAAAAATAAAAAACTACAGGTTACCTAACAGTAAGAAATTTTTTAGTGCAAAACTCAAGTTTACCTTTGCCAACTGGCTTAGTGAGCATATCCGCGGGCATATTCGGTGGGCATGTATATGTATAAAAGCTCAATTTTCTTCTCATTTACCATTTGTCTTACAAAATGATGCCGCGTGTCTATGTGTTTTGTCCTACCGTAGCTAGCATTATTTTGCGCCATTTTTCGGGCACCTTGATTGGCATTATACAAAACGATTAGAATTTTTATTGTTTCGATAAAAATTTCCTTATAAAAGTAATGGATTAACATTGCCTCACGGGTTCCATCTCCAATTGCGATGTACCTACTCTCCCTCGGCACTGGACAAGGCAGGGGGGCGCTGCTTGCGACTTTCCCAGCTAATTGCACTTCCCGCAAACTCAAATATATACCCTGTGTATGAACGTCGGTCAATGCGACATTCCGCCCAGTCCAAGTCAACATAGCCAGTTAAAATGTTTTTTGTTTTATAATACACCAAATTATAGTTTAAAGTTCCTTTAAGGTGTCTGAGAACTCTCTTTGTGCATTTCCAACTTAGGGCTGTCGGGTTACTGTTGTATTGACTTAAAAAACTTACAGCATAAGCAATGTCTGGTCTTGTCCAAACCGTCAGATACATTAGGCTACCAATTAGGTTCTGGTACGGCACCTGAACTATTTCATTGTCTTCTGATGCGTCGAACATTTTACGAATATCCTCCTCCAGAGGAGTCGACGCTGGTTTACAATCCGCCATCCCAAAGTTGGACAGCAAATTAATTAAAATGTACCGTTTCTGGTTTATCATTATTTTATTGTTTAGAGAGTCTCTTATTGTATACCCAAGAAATAACTCGGGGTTCCCAAGTCCTTCATTTTATACTCATTCATCAGCTCAGATTTTAATTTTTCGCCTTCTTTCTATCACTATACAGGAGCAAAAAGTCGTCAACATGAATTGCTGTGATTATAACGCAAGCTTTTGTCATTTTAAAGAAAATACATGACTCATGAGACGATTGTTTAAAACCTAGTTTGAACAGAAAATCTTTCACAGTAAGATACCAAGCCATAGAAGCTTGTTTCAGCCCATATATGGCCTTTGAGAGTAATCATATGAAGTCCTCTTTTCCGGGTTCTTCGAAACAAACTGGTTGAGACATATTTATACTACTTCTTCGAGATTTGCGTTTAAAACGCACATTCAACATCCATATGAGTAATTATTAAGTCTAATTGTACAGCTAGAGCTAGTAAAAATCTGATGATAGAATAACGAACTACAGGTGAATAAGTCTCAAAATAGTCAACATTCTTAGTCTGCGTGAAGCCTTCTGCACAGAGACGACTTTAGTAAAGGTCAGCTTGACCCGGTTGTTTTTTAAGTTTATAAACTCGTTTTGAGCGCACAACATGTGCATTTTTTGGGCGCGGAACGAGTGTCCACACTTTGTTTTTTTTCATAGCTTCCATCTCACAACACATTGAGCTGTACCATTCGTCTTTGTTTTCAGATGCCATGGCTTCATTATATGTTTGTGGCTCAGATCCAAAGTTCAAAGTCAACAACGCCTGAATTTTTTGACCATCTGAAGTACTTGGACTTTGATTCTCATTTTCGCTTGCTTGTGCAAGGTCGTTTTCAGGTTCTGGAAACAATTTTGTACGGGCGCAAGGTCTGTCAGGGTATCGCCTTATGTTTTGCTGAGGAATAATTGTTTGGATTTCACTGTCATCAGAATCTAGGTAACTCTCACTGGGATGCCAAGTTTCATCATTTTCTGGGGTCATAGTACCAATGCTTTTAGCGTCACTCACCGTTGGACTTGACGTTATTGAATCGTTGGCTACATTGTTTTCATTGCCAACTTCATGACTCTTCACGTTTATTGCTCGCTCATCATGATTACTATTTACGGAGGCTTCTCCAATTTCCGACTCAAGTGAATTCCAATCCTCAGTTTCCCAAAACATGTCATCTTTCAACAGATTTTCCAGTGTTGCTAAGTCTCGCTCCTTTTTCACATTTGGTACATCACAAGGATACATCCCATCTAAAATCTTAACATCTCTCGAGGTAACTATTTTTTCTTGTTGGGTATGAAACAGCAGGTATCCGTTGGGTGCATACCCAACGAATACGTAATAGCCTGCCTTGTTCTCTAAATTTTTCAAGTATCTTGTATTTTTGGCATAGGCAACGCTGCCAAAAATTCTCATCTGTTTAAATTAGGGGTTCTTTTAAACCAATTTTGGAATGGAGTTTCTAACATGCCCCTTTTTGGGCTCCTATTTAAAATGCAACAAGCTGTATACAGGGCTTGTGACCATAATCTCCTATCAGCCCTTGATTCACACAATAATGCACTAACCCTATCCATCAAAACGCCATTTTTTCTTTCAGAAGTACCGTCCAGTTGAGGAACATCGGGCGGGGAGTAATCAAGCACTATACCTTTGGTGCTACACCAAGATTTTAACTTCGTACTTGTGTATTCGCCTCCTCGATCACACCTTAGGGAGTGAGTTTTTAAATTCCTCCTTGCATCCATTTGTAAAATCATTTCTGTCAACGCCTCGAAAGTTTCACTTTTCAATTTTAACATACGGACCAGTGTGAACTCCTTGAAACTCTCTGTCAGTGTAATGTAGTAATTTTCCTCCCAGAAGGTTTGCGGGCTGATGGGGCCAGCCAATTCAGCATTTAACACCTCTAGAGGCCTTTTGGCAGCACTTCTTTCGTTTTCAAATCGTAATTTCTTAAATTTTGTTTTTAGACAGGTGTCACAATTAGGTACTGTGATCGCCTATCTTCGAGTTGATACCGCTAGAAATATTTTTTAGAAGGTTCACATTCTTATCACTAAGATGGGCTAAACGCAAATGCCAATTCGGTTCCTTCTTGCTAAACGGTGCCAGAGCATGTTGAAGATTATTCACAGGTTTTAAATTTAAAATATAAATACCGCGTTTATCTTGCACACCCTGTATTATTACAGTTTTTTCCCTAAAAACTTTCACTCCTTGTTTGTCGAATTTAACCTCGCACCCTGATTCCACAATCGCATTTACCGACAACAGATTTGCAGTTGCATCTTTTGAAAAAAGAACATTTTTGAGGACACACTGTTCTGATTCAAATTCACCTGTCTTTATTACCTTTAGCGCGCCTCCTCGTTTAGCTACTCATATTTCTAACTCGTAATCATTGAGATTTTCTAGTAAGCTTATTTGTGGCGTTAAATGCGAAGTGGAGCCAGAGTCAACCACCCAAGTGCTATCAGATATACTATTATTGTCTGCCATGAAAGACTCATCCGCAGAGAAGGTTTCATTTGCTTAAAAAGCCACTTTTGACCAATTTTCGTAATCAGGGTCATCGTCTGATATATGTATCTCGATAATCCGGGATCGGAGGAAGGGAATAATGAGAAGCCCGGAAATGCGTGTACCAACAAGCTACGCCATTTATTGAATAAGAACAGCTGCCCCAGCAGGGCTACCACACCTACAAGGGCAAATCTCCCTTGCAATACATGCTAAGTACCAACCTATGAATTATTCGTATATGACATCCTCCCTGGGTATTTTGAGCGTTTGCCTCAAAATAAAAGCAATGAGTGATTACATGGAATCAATAGCGGATTACAGTAACATGGGAATATTAATTGATGAGAAAGAGTTTAACAATGAGTTAGGTAGATTAAACAACGAATTGTTGGCTTGCGAGCTGATTGTGAGATTAATTTCAACTATGGTATGACAAGCAATTCTAGAGTAACCTTCAGAATGGAGTTCAAGAATTTTATTATAATTGGCTTACGCTTTATTTATTTTCATTTTTCCTTTTCTTTTTTTTTCTTTTTTTTTTTGTTATTTACATGATTTAAATTCAATTAGAGGTAGGATTGTTCAGAAAATTGTATATGAAATATTATAGTTAAAAGTTAACTTAAACTAAGGAGGTGAATATTTTTGGGTTGGTTTGGAGGTTCTTGACGTACGACGAAGATCAGCAGGATTTGCAGAAGGTGGTTGTTGTAGACCTCGACCCCGTCCGCGGCCTAAAGATCTGGAGCTGACCGGAGTCGCAGAAGTAGGGCTGGCAAGGTTCAATGCTTCAGGCGTGTAAAATCCTAAGAATTCAGGAGAGTCGTCATCTGAGCTTTGATAGCTGGGAGAACGTCTTGATTGTGGCTCAGGAGTGATGGCAGCATTTGATCTACTTGAAGGCGAAGTTGCAGCAAGCAGATTTGGTGATGTGGTTGGGACCGCAATGTCAGGAGTGGGAAGCTCTAAGTTTTTCCTATTGGAGGAAGTAGGAGTTAGGGTTAAAGTTGAAGCACGAGGAGTGGCAGAAGCAGTATCATAAGTAGTACCAGCGGTAGCACTTGAAGCAGGAATGTTCGAAGGAGTGTCAGAAGTGTTCCTTGAGGGGGAAGTTTCTGAAGTTTCAGAAGCTTTTCCTGAAATTCCATTTGATGGAGAAGCAATTGAGGTAATCGGAGGAGTTTTGCTAACAGTAGAAGCAATGTGAGTGGATCTAGCCTTGGAGCGGGTTCCATAATTGTTCGAAAACAATTTGGTCGGTTGCTGACTCTTATCCTGAGCAAAGTGAACGTGATTCCCGGATGATTTAAGTTGATCAATGTGTCGCTTGTGCATTTCATTTTCGTACTGGATTAAGTAATGTAGAAGACCATGTTTTGCTTTGATTATGCCTTTTCGCCATGGATGTTTTTTATCATTGTAAATTCGAAACATGATTGGTTCGTTAGTGTTGAACAGGGCCGGATTTAGCTTTTTGCCGCCCCTGGGCAAGCTACATTTTGCCGCCCCTGGGTCTACAATATATCGCGAGTACATTGTCAAGAGCGGAGTTCAATCGTCGACATCGGCAGAAGTCGAATTCGAAAAAAGGGCAGTCGTCGACTAGAAGCGAACGGGTCGAATGGTTCCGCGAACTGCCGCGAATGTCATGAACATTCGCCGGGGCGAGTTTGGACGAGTTTGTTATTGTTTCTCATTAAACTAACCCCTTTTGAGGACATTAGTAATAGTAATAGTACATCTACCTAATAGTCAAGAATGTCTAATATTTTTCACTGAATAAATTTTCGCATGTCGTCGGATAAATTATTTTTTTGGCAGTGTCTGTTTAGTAGTAATTTCTTGCCTTGCCACTGCTGTTCATTGTCGGAACGGTGGGAAGTTAATCGAAGCTGTTCAATCCGGAAGTGTTTTTGAGTCAGTTTAAATTAATTAATTAATTTCTTTTTCAGTCTGAGCCCTAATTGAGTGGACATTCTACGACTTTCGCGTAGGTAGGTGGAAAAATCCACTTTTTGAGGAAAAAGTAGTCTTTCAGCAGTTCATAGATTATCTCCACTCGCTACCACGCCAAAGGAGCATATCATTGCGTCTGATCATTGAAGGTTTCTTGAGAACCAAGTTGATGAAAAATGCAGATGAAACTGTAGCTTTTCTTGTTCTTGAAAAACTTTGATGGCAGATTTTCTTATACAGCGAGGGAAACGTCTCTGCTCCATGGTCATAGTCGCCATGACTGAAGATTTCTTCGATGGTAAAGTTCCTTATCACCTTTAATACGCTTTAATATCACAGGTCTTTACATCTACCTCATTGTAAGTTGCTTTCAAGCCTCTACTTTGACAACTTTATTCTTGACGTGGAAGCCAACGTTTTGTTACCCACAGGAGTTACTTGGAAATAAATACATTCATGTAGGATACCTAGAATTTACTACCGACACAGTTTCCTTTGCTTCAATCTGCTTTTGCGCAGTTCCTCATACTGTAACGTGACAAGACTGAGTCATAGAAGGGTGCCTCGGCTCCCTACTAAAGAGAGACAGGGTGCTGAAAACACGAACACAAAAAGATAAGAGGATGAAACACTAAGTATACTTGACTGCAAAAGTGAAAGAGCCGGCTGAGGCCCAGCCTCAAAGAAGTAGGTACAACTGGAACTTCTCACACTAGTCCTAATCGGAACATTTTAATTCAAACATGGAAAAAGTTATGACATAGGTACCTATCGAGCATTCTTTTTGCACATCGCGGTAGGACATGATACTTTCAAAGACGAGAAAAATCAAGTTTATTTTCCATGAAATTAAAAAAAGAAATAGGCATTTTCACCGCGACTTGTTTCTGAAAACACAGAAATGAGACATTGATTTTTACACGCAACTTCATAAGAGTTTTTCACTTTCTGAAGAAATTTGAAGTTCATTTTATAAATCCTTCCATTTTAAGGGGATACATAATGAAGGTGACATCACTTAACCACAATCCTATCTGCAGTTGCATCATTTCAGATGTTCTTAAATTTTTTACTATTTTGAAGCATAACGGATCAGTACATGAAGAAAAATTCCATGTAATGCACCGATTCTGAGATGCTATCAATCCATATTCCTTGCACAATGGAAATTTTTCTAGGTTCACCATTGATGTGTATGTCTAATCACATTAAAAGATAAAAATAAATAAAAAAAGCCACTTAGCGCCCCAGCTGGGTCTTATTAGAAAAGATATTAAAAAAACTTAAATTCCCTCCAAGTATCAGAATGGAAAAATCCTGAAGACCTTTCTCTTCAAATCATGTTGCAAAATTAAGAGGAGAACGTTTCTCCAAAGTTCATTTTCAATTAAGTCTATTATTGGACATAGCCTTTCTCTGATGAAGAAAGGGAAGACATTAATACGCTAGGCTTTTATTGCTCATCAGTCGAGGTCAAATTAAAAATCGAGACCTGTTTACTTAGGTATCTACTTTAAGGGTCAGAAACAAAGCATAAATTTAGTTTAATTTACAACCATTGATGGAATTTCCTGATGCATTATGGCTCTCGTTCTGCTAAGAGAGCTACTTAAACTTAGAGGTCTTTAGTGTCGTCCGCGGCAAAGACAAGCAGCCTATACATAATGCTCCATTTGCAACAAACGATAAAATGAAAAGTAAAATAAAATGCACAATGGTGAACTAGGTTCGATTGGTTCGGTGCGTTCGGGCATCGACGTATGACCGTTCGCCACGAATCGACCATTGCCGATGTCGACCTTTGCTACTCGTTCATTGTCAACAGTATCCCCCCCTCCCCGCACTCCGAACTTCCCACGCCATCAGTCTCATGTTGCCCCCCCTCTCGTGCGCCGCGTGGGCGCGTGCGCGTAGCTGTTTTAAAATGCGCCACGAATATATGAAATGGAATGGATGGATGAGGCAAAAATACAATGTGGAGACAAAGTTGAAGCTAGTGTAGCTCAATGTATTACTTACAATGTATTTTCGGAAGATCAGGATAAAAAGTTTTTCTCCGGGTTTTCAGTCTAGCAAAGCTGTCAACCAGAGCATCGACGTCTAAATTGATTGTCAAGTCTGCCTCGATGTTAAAAATTGCCGTGCTGTTTGGTTTCCCTTGGGATCACTCTAACGAACGATCATCGTAGCGCTCAAGGCCGGACCTAGAGGGCGACAGCTTTGCCGCTCCCGTCAACTCCCTTCCTTCATACATTTTGCCGCTCATCTTTCACTTCGCTCCGTCTCTGTCTCCATTTTTTTCTTTTTTCTCGCTTTAACTTTCAATTAACCCAGTGCCAAAATTTGCCCATGGTAGGGTAGCCGCAAAAGGTATGGTGAAGGAGTTGACAAGTGGCTTCGCTGTCTATCGAATTTGTAGTGTGCACAGTGGTCCACTTGGAATGTGCATCAACGATAATAAGAAGGTATTTGTTGCAGACTGGACCTGCATAGTCGATGTGAATGCGTTGCCATGGTGCAGATGGATATTCCCATACATGGGTAGAAGTTTTTGGAGACATCTTAGAATTTTGCAGACAGGAGGTGCAGTTTCTTGCGACTTCTTCTATTTCTCTATCGATGCCCGGCCAGTAGATAAGGGATCTTGCAAGTCCTTTCATCTTGGTGATACCAAGGTGTGCTAAATGCAGTTCCTTCAAAAGAGCGAGGCGAAATTTAGCAGGAATGACAATTCGATGACCTAGCGTTAGGCAGCCAGAAGAGGAGGAGTAGTGAAGTTCATTACCTTTGCAGCCTAAAGCTTTCAAATCATCACCGTTTAGAACTGCTTTGAGAATCGGAGCAAGGAGTGGGTCGCGCAATGTTTCCTCAGCAACTTTTTCTGGAGTGAGTGGTAGTTGATCGAATTGGACGTATTTCTGCCAAACGGAACTATGTGCATCAAGACATGAGCCCTGAGACCCATAAGAATACATGCAGAACAGGGCTCACGTCATAGTGCACATAGTTCCGTTTGACAGAAATACGTCCAATTGATGCAGTACAAAGGAGTGAAAATAATCAGGTTGCGATTGAAAATCATCATCAAAGGAATGGAATTCGTTGCACGATGGATCACTGAAAGAAGGCACATCAGACATTGGATCATCAAGTGGAAGTGGAGCTCTGGATAAATAATGAGCATGGGCATTTTTCTTTGAAGGTTTGAGTTTTAAATCATAATTGAAGTTTGCAAGGTAGCTAGCATAGTTTGCGCATCTTGAAAGCGTGAATTTGGGAAGCAATGCATTGGGCGCAAAGATCTGTGAGATTGCTCGATTATCCGTGTAAAGGGTAAATTTTCTTCTCTATACGTATTGAAAAAACTTCTTAACACCCCACACTGTAGCTAATGCTTCTCTGTCACTTTGAGTGTAAGCTAATTCGGTTTTGTTAAGTGCTTTGCTAGCATAAGCAATAGGTTTCTCAAGGTTGTTAGGCATTATGTGTGAAAGCACAGCACCGAGGCCAACAGGGCTGGTATCTACAGCTAGGATCAGCGGCAGGCTTGGATTGTAAGGAGTTAGAACCTTATCAGACACCAGCTCTGCTTTTAAAAGTTCATACGCTTCTTCACCTTCTTTGGTCCACGAAAACTTGTTGGAAATTAACATTTTCCGGAGTGGAGAAGTTTTGGAAGACAAATGTTCTATAAAGGAGTGGTAGTATGTTACCTTGCCGAGGAATGTTCGCAGTTGCGCGGCTGTGTTAGGTTTGGGTGCATTGATTATTGGAAGAATGTGTTTGTTGAGTTTATGTAAACCAGTGGCATCGATTTGGTATCCTACGAAGTCAACAGATGTGAGGAAGAATTTGCTTTTTGGGCGATTCAGCTTCAATCCAGCATCAGCTATGGCCTGAAGTGTTTCTTCTAAAGCAATGAGAAGGTCTTCAATTGAGTCTGCAAATACAAGGACATCATCAAAAAAATTAATGGCATTCTTAAGATGAGATAAGGCAGCTTGGAGTCGTCGTTGCCAAATGGCAGGAATGCTGCATACACCGTATTGAGCTCGGGTTGGCCTGATAAGCCCATGAGTTGGTGTGTTGAGGGTCATTGCCTCACTTGCTTTTTGCGTACATGGCAGACTCATAAAAGCGTCCGTAATGTCAAGCTTGCAGAAATACTTAGCTCCTCGGAGTTTGTGAAGAATTTCTTGTATTTTGGGAATTGGGTACTCATCCGCTATAAGACAAGGATTGAGTGTAGCCTTATAATCTCCGGTAATTCTCAATTTCCCATTTTTATAGACAACATGGGTAGGAGATGCCCATTCAGAAGCTTGAACCTGTTCATAAAAACCTAGCTTTAGCTTGCGGTCTATTTCTTGTGAATACAGGTCTAGTAGAGTATATGGCAAGAGTCGCGCCTTAGCGAATACTGGTTCACAGTCTGATTTAAAATGAAAATCAACAGGGGGTCCTTTCATAAGGCCTGCGTTTTCATGAAAAAAGTTTGGAAATTTATCAAGAATCTTACTTAATGAAGAATCTGGTTGCACGTTATGAATGGTGTTTGAATTTGAAGTGAAGATTTGATCTGGTTCGAAGAGTTCTGAGATTGAAAGAAGGTCTCTATACCAGAAAATCCAGTCTCTTCCAAAGATACTTTCACCAGGAATGTCGACGATGCCAAGGGGCAATTGAAGAGTCCGCTTACCGAATGTAACTGAGAAATAAGCTTCGCCAATTTTGTTAAATTTGGTCTTACTGTAGGAAATCAAGGGCTCTTGGACACGGTGAATCTTGACGTTAGGAAAGAATTTCTGCATTAAGTCAAGACTGACAATAGAAAAGCCTCCACCTGTATCCAGTTCCATAGGAATGGTCTTACCGTTCAAGGAAACATCCAGCATGATTGGAGGGATTTTATCTTTCTTTGAAGGGGAATGACCAATACGGTTGATGCTGTTATGCTGAAGAAATTCAGTTTCAGACATTGAATCAGGGAAATCATAAACTGCATAAAATGTATTAACAGAGTTTTTGGCAGTGGACTTTTTCCGACAAACTCTAGAAATATGGCCAGATGTCCTGCATGAGTTACAGGTTGCGTTCCTGAACCTGCAGTTCTTTCGGAGGTGCAAGCCACCACAAGAATCACATGGATTTAACTTGGACTCTTGATAGTTTTCAGATGGGTTGGATCTGGATCGGTTGGAGGTTTCGAAGGACTTGGAGCGTTTAAAAGAATTAGACTTCTTACCTCGGGAGTGTGAACAATAGTGTGAGTTACCATGTGAGTTGTGTTTGAATTTTGGCGTGGATTCGTGTGTAAATTTGTTGATTAAAGGTGTGCTTGGTGTGTGTGAAGTTGAAGATGAAGAGGCTTTTACCAGGATGGCAGCGTTGCGTGAAGCCTGCATGGAAGTTGCAAGTTTGACAGCAGCGTCGAAGGTCGCAGGTTCTGCAGCGATGACGTCATCTCTGATATCATCTCGGAGGACTCCATGGATGAATTGCACTGTTAACGAAAAATTTAAAAAATTCACCAAATTGGCAGTGGCGAGCAGCGGCTTTCAGGCGAGACACAAATTCCTGAATAGGCTCATCTTGTTTCTGAAGGATGGAGCGGAAGTGGATGGCTTCTGAGAACTTATTCCGGTGTTTCTCGTGATGAGTGATCAGGAGAGTCTTAACTTGTTGGAAAGTTAGAGAACTTACTGCGGTAGGGTAAGCAAGATTGATGAGCGATGCGTTTAAGTCGCAGCCCATAAAAACTCTCGCTTGCGAGGCCCAATTTTCTGCCGGCGCGTTGCAGAGCTTGAGTTGAAGTTCGATACGATCGAAACAGTCCGTGATTGACTCAGGAGAATTGAGTTCGAACGGCGTGAAGGAGAATTTGGTAGACGGCGTGGCTTTTTGCTGTAGGTTAACTTGAGCAAGTCGAGAAACCAAAGAAGTGAGTGCAGAAAGTTGCAGTTGTAGCAATTGGAGATCGCCGTCATGGCCGTCACCAGCAGTAGCAGAGTCCTCGTCCGGCATCGCGAGGAAAAAGCACACGAAACTTACGAAATTCGCGGAGAATGAACACAGGGACAAACCGACGCGTAGCACATTATTAGCGGTTAGTGGTAAAAATCCTCGTCGCCATTGATATATCTCGATAATCCGAGATCGGAGGAAGGGAATAATGAGAAGCCCGGAAATGCGTGTATCAACAAGCTACGCCATTTATTGAATGAGAACACGAGAACAGCTGCCCTAGCAAGGCTACCACACCTACAAGGGCAAATCTCCCTTGCAATACATGCTAAGTACCAACCTATGAATTATTCGTATATGACATCGTCCACCCCGTCTTTTGGCTTATATCTACAGTTTTGATAGGGGTGGTTTGTTTTTTTACAGTACTTACACTTAGGAAATTTATTGTAACCATTATTACCTCTATCCCAAGTAGCATTTTTCAAAGTTAAAGTTGCAAAAAGTTGAAACAAGAGTGGTTAAAAGTCGCAACTATGTTGCAACTTAGTTGCAACTCTCAGTCAACATTTGGTCGAAAGGCAAGTGCCGATTTTCGGCGATCTGATCGGAAGAAAAGTCGCAACTTATAGCAATTGAATTGCATGAATCTTGCAACTTATCGACGTTGCCAAAATCATCCCTGTTAAAAATGACCATGTTGGTAACAAGTTGGTCAGGCCCAACATGGTAGCAACAGGGTGAATGGAACCTGTTATCATAAATGATATCAACATGTTATCACCATGATATCACACACTGAAAAAAAAGTTCCAAAATGCGAAATGCTTTAATTTAGGGGCACTGCACGTTCTTAGGCATATTTTCCATCGCGGACACCAGAGAAGTACCGCTATGAGAGAATCCGACAATCAATGTTCGCCAGAGTTAAGCCGCGCTGCGCCTGAGTTCCCAAATGGTCACCCACCGAAGTATCTACGCCCGACGTTGCTGAACTTCGGTGATCGCCCGAGTGGCGTTGCCACTCCGCCACGGACGCTCGCGTGGGGGAGGTGGCTAATTTAGCTCTAATAAACGTCCTCAGATCTAATTCAATGATATTCTTACAATTTTGTACATCATTCAGTTTCACCTTGAAGGATACGAAAATTATATAAAGTAGATCAAGTTTTTGAAAGAGAGGAGTACGAACAACACATGAAAAAATAAAATAAAATATGGACGGATATATAGTTATTAAAAATGAAAATATTAAAAACAAAATAAGATAAATAAATAATATAAATCAATGAAAAATGAATAATATCATTAATAATTCATTATAGTATATTATAATTTATTATATTATATTTATTATATTAGGTAAAGAGCAGTCTTGTGACGTCCTTACCAGTTTGCAAAATAGGCCGCGATATTCAAATTTTAGCCAAATGTAAGGACCGGGAACGATATGGAAGTTGGAACATGTTTCAACTTAATTGCAACAAGTTCCAACAATGATAGCTCCTTCGGGGGAAAGAGTAGGCAATCTCCACGTCAATCTATCAGTTGCAAGAATTCAACGATTTTGTTACAAGTTGTTGCAACCTCTGCTACTTGGGATACTTGGCTTCAAATTACAGCCGAAACTGGATGCTTTTAAATTACAATGAAATTTAATTAGGATTTTATTTTTAATCACAGGTGAAATCTATCTGCCCAAAGCATGTAAAAACATAAAAGGCTCAATATTTTGTAACTGCCCACTTCAAAATCCGTTAGCTGTCCCATCAGTGAACATTACGGTCTGTGATATCAGTTGACGGATTCAGTTGCATGAGGCAGCCTGGGTCAGTCCATTTAAGATTTTATTTTGCTGTTACCGCTACTTTTTTCACAAAACCAAACCAGTGGCATGGTGTTTTGTACATCATTCCTCATGAAAATTTTGCGCTGAATCCGAATCCGTGCTTAAATTGCAGGAATTTTCTTTTTTTATAGCTCAAATTTGATCTGAAATGCTGAATTTGTCATTACCGTAACCTGTTACCGGTCGAAAGTCTCAACTTTATCGCTGAATTCAAGCAAATATATACAAAGTCACGGGCTTCTGAAATCAAATATGGCTTCAGCATACTTTGAATTGATAATTCTTTCTTTTTAGAGCTATATTTTCCTCTAAGTTTTCGAAAAAATTGGCATCTCGTGCTTGTTACTGGATTTGGTGTCATTACCGTAACCCCTTGTTCTGGAGCAAACTTCGGCTGCTAGGCGACAGCACCAGCTCGAACTTACATTCGTTGATGTTTGTGTTGGAAGTAGGACCCATGGTGAGTAGCTCTCTATTTTTTACTTCATCATAAAGTAATATTCGTTCAATTTACAGTGATAAATTGAGTTTTGTCCTACTCTCAGCTGCCATTATCGTTACCATATAAAAATCCACCAAGGATTGAAGATATCATCAAACCTACTTCATTTATGAACGCATGGCATTAAACCAACCTCAAATATTAAATCTCACCTTCCTACAACAAGCCCATGTCTCCTTTTGGCGCGAAATTTGAATGCTTCTCATTACCGTAACCATCATTACCGTAACTTCCACCCAGACCGTCTAGGGTGTACGGTAATGATGCAAGAGTTTCGGTTATGACCAACTATCTTTTTTAATGAATCTATTGCGGCCTTCTTTAGTTTTTAAGGAATAATTTCAGTTGCTTGAGATTACCTTTAAATATATCTCTGTCTTTTCCTTGTCCACAGACGAAAAATGTCAACCCCATACGAGAAATGATTTCAGAACTTACAAAAAAAACTGAAATAAGTCAGTCAGTTTAAATCAGTACAAGAAAATGGCCCATCAGATACCACCAGCAGTACCGTCGCGTCCTGCCCAGAAAGTACATCAATACGATCCTGTTATGTTCGATGAGATGAAAATGAATCAACGCACTTTACGGAATTATAGATTTATTCATCTTTAATCACGAACAAGCCAATCCGGCAGCAGCTGATAACAGATAACAGATAACCTCTCTTGGATCACCTTCACCTTGCGCATGCGCACTATCCTCTCAGGTGTGGCATTACAGTCATTGCCAACCTGACTGCACTAATACTATATTTCACTATTCCAACAGATCCGAGATAGTCTTATACTATTTATTGCTAGTTTTGCTAGTTAAAAGTTCTATTTTCTCTTGACTATTATTATGATTATTTTGTTTGAAGATCTCACTAGAGATATTTTTGTTTACGTTACCTACATTTCTTCTCAAAGAAATTTTCTCTTTTGCATATAGGTGGTTAAATAAAGTCCTATTTTTCCTCTATTATAATTATTTTGTTTAGTGATCTCATTAGAGATACTCATTTAATGTGAAATTGGTTGATGTCTACCATTTCTTGGACGATTTATTTATTTCAAATGATTTGGTTTGGTCATTTTTTCGAATTTTTGTACTGCTTTAATACAACGTTTCTTTAGAAATCAGTGCTTTTTTCCTTCAGCCTTGAGATCCTACCCCATAAGGCCGTCATGCATAACAATAAATCATTACCGCATACTTACAGTCATTACCGCTACTATTTATCATTACCGTAACCGGCTTATTTTCCTTGAAAAAAAAATTGGAAAAAAAGCTGTAAATTTACAATTTAAGGGGAAATTACAAAATATAAGTTTAGCTCTTTATAGAAAAGTCTTTACATGCAACCTAATCCTTTTCTCTCAAATGTAGGGCAATTTAGAACTCAAAAGAAACAAAAAATTCCGAATTTGACAACGAAATTTGTTTAAATAAAAGTTTTAATCATAACTTATCCAAATATTTGTATTTATTTCGAACTATCAGACTTTAAACTAAACAAAAAAAATAAAAAAGATCAGTTTCCACTTCTTTTGCGTGTGCTGGACTAACAAAATAAATAGGTTACGGTAATGATGAGTTTTTTCAAAAACTCTTAAAAGTCACGAGAAATAAAAAAAATGGTGCCGGAAAGAGCTATGCCACTGTCCAATAATTATTCTGAGGGGTTCAAAGGTCCCAAAAAATATCATATACAAGTCACTTACTGACTTCCAACTGCTGTGAAAGTCTGATTCTGAAAATGAAATCTTAAATGGACTGACCCGCCTATTCAGGCAATGTTGAAGGATGCCGTTTGCTGAATGAACATACATACATCAACTTTTGGTAAGTCAAATTAATTGCTACCTACGTTGCTCTTTAGGTAAATGTCTCATAACAGCTTGGATGTGTAGTATCCACACTTGACATTCCAGTGTGTGTACTCCGTGTTCGGGACCCCAAATGAACATACAGGGTGATCCGGTCCACCCGTCCACTATCTTTTTCTCGAAAACGGGGGAGAATTGAGCTTCGGGACCAAAACTTTCATGGAGTAAATCGACCCCAAAGAATCAAATGAAAATATTTTCAGCCCCCCAAAATGGCCCCTGTTACGCATTTTCTCACAAAAATAGAGGTTAGGCAAGACAAGAATAAAGGAAAGGTGATGGAAACGAACCTTAAGAAAGAAGAATTTGGAAACCCAAATTAAGCTAAAAGAAGCCTTTAATGAAACAAGAAGGCACACAACTTTCTTACCTTATAATAAGGAGTAATTGTAATAAAAAACAAGAATAACTGGGTTTTTACCAAAAAGAAGACAGATCATACAAACATAGATCAAGTTGTAAGACAATATAGAAAAAACATGGTAACCATGGATATATATATGGAACATACCGCGCCCCTTGAACCCTGCAAGGGATTCAACAGATTCTTTCAGGGACTTAATAAGGGACATAATCAGGGGGGGTCCGATTAAAAAATGAGCTGGAGTAAGAGGTGTTAAATCATTTGGATTATCACTCATAGCTGTTAGGGGACGAGAATTCAAACAAGCTTCTACTTGTGCAAGCAACGTTTGGAATTCTTCACAAGTGAAAACAAAATTTCCTGCAACTCTTTTCAGACGGAATTTTAGTGATTTAATTGCAGCCTCGTATAATCCCCCGAAATGAGGAGCTCTAGGTGGAATAAAATGCCAATATATAGAGTTACTAGATAAAACATGCTGAAATTTTTCATTATTAGAAAGCGAGTACAACATATCGTGCAATTCCTTATTAGTGCGAATAAAGGTTTTGGAATTATCTGAGTAGATATCTGAGGGGAATCCTCTTCTGGAAATAAACCTTCTTGAAGCGGCAATAAAATCATTTACAGATAAATTACTTACTAATTCACAATGAATTGCCTTCGTTGCAAAGCAAACGAATAATGAAACATATGATTTCACCCTTATTTTACTCTTACAGTATGGTTTTAAAAAAATAGGACCACAAAAATCGACTCCGCAAATTTTGAAAGGTCGTAGCTCAGTTACTCGGTGAGATGGCAATGGTGCCATTATTTGGGTTAGAAGTTTGGGGCGAGCAACTCTACAACCGAAACAATTGCGTACGGTGAAATAAGCTTCAGATCTTCCTTTTAAAGGCCAGAACCGTTGACGTATTGAAGCCAGCAAGGCTTGAGGGCCTGGATGAAATAGTCGAACAGAATGTCCGTGTCTAAAAATTAAGTTCGTCAATTTATGTCTATTTGGTAATATTATAGGAAATTTTTGTGCGTAAGGAATTCTTGCATTACGTAAACGACCATTGACCCTTAAAACTCCAGTTTCATCAAGGAAGGGATTTAATGCTAAAAGTTTATGCTTTTTTGTGTAAAGCACCGGAAGACAGATCTGAAATATCACGTGAAATTGCTTCCGATTGGGCAATTTTCATCAATTTATTTAAAGAACTGTCGCATTCAGCTGCTGTTAATTCTCCAATCTTTCTACATGGCTTGTTTTTAGACTTAGAATTGAAAATAAACCGTTGAACATATGCAAAAACTCTTATCAGTTTAGAAAGGGAAGAGTATTTCTCAAATAAGTCAAAGGGCTTAATTGAAATTACGTGAGAAGTACAAGAAGACTGCATTTCAGTAGACAAATCATTATCAAACCTAATGTCTTGATGACAATGTTGGAAAATACCCGGGTTATGTAACATTTCTGGTCCATGCCACCATAAACTTGAGTTTATTAAAGTCGAAGACTGAACCCCACGAGAAATTAAATCAGCAGGATTTTGATCTGATGATACATGACACCAGTGAGCATTTTTAGTATTCAACTGAATTTCAGCCACTCTATTCGCTACAAAGGTTTTCCAACGATTTGGAGGTTCACGAATCCAGTCAAGAGTAATCGTCGAATCAGTCCACAAGAAAATCGCCGAAAAGGGCATCCGCATAGCATTTAAAACTTGAGACAATAATCGTGATAAAAGTAATGCCCCACATAGTTCTAATCTTGGTAAACTAGTAGAATGCAACGGAGCCACGCGGGATTTTGAAATTAATAATTGACAGTGAGAGGTTTCGTCTTTATCAATCGAACGAACGTAAATGCAAGCACCGTAAGCTCGGATAGACGCATCAGAAAAACCATGCAACTCTACATTAACAGCATAAGGAGAAACAACGTGTCTAGGAATTTCTAATTTTGAGATTAACAACATATCTGAACAAAAATTTGTCCATAGAGTAAAAATAGACTGAGGCACCGATTCATCCCAGAGAATCTTTAGCTTCCAAATGTCTTGCATTATCAGCTTGGCCCGTATTACTAACGGACTTAAGAAAGATAATGGGTCAAAAATCTTAGAAGTATCAGAGAGAATGCTACGTTTAGTAATTTTTGAATTTTTAGTGTGCTCAAATATCGATAAATTAGATATCAAAAACCAATCTTTAAAAGTATTATAAACAAGGCCAAGAGTTTTTACTATATCATTTGGCGCAATGAGGATGGAGGAATCATCACCTACATCTTTATTAGATTCTTTAATATATTTCAATATTTTGGGATCATTAGATGACATTTTTACTAATTTAAAACCTCCTTTCTTGAACATTTTACTCAATTGATCACATAATACAATGATAATCTGGAAATCATCATTTCCGGTTAAGAGATCATCGACATAAAAATCTGTAATTGTAATCTCCGAAGTGAGTGGAAACTCTGGATTTTCATCAAACGCAAGTTGATGTATAGATCGAATCGCTTGAAATGCAGAGGGTTTTAATCCAAAGGTAACTCGAGTCAAGCGGTAAGTCAAAATCTCCCCAGTTTGGCGGTCACGCCAAAGAATCCTCAACATATCCCGATCATTAGGATCTATTGAAACTTGTCGATACATTTTTTCAATATCTGCAATTAGTACGTATTTATGTTTCCGGAAACGTAGTAAAATTGAAATTAGATCTTCTTGGATTGTTAGACCTGACATTAGAACATCATTTAATGATACCCCTGAAGTAGTGGTAGCTGAGCCATCAAAAACTACACGCAATTTAGAAGTCAATTTTGACTCATTTATGACAGCATGATGGGGTAAATAAAATACACGTGAATTGTTTAACTCACTTTCGGGAACCAATTCTAAATGCCCCAATGACAAATATTCATTTATAACATCAGAGTATCTTACAAATAACTCTGGAGTGAGCCGCTTCCCAAGAGATAATAAACGACGTAGCGCTGGAGATCTAGACTCTCCCAAAAATGGCAGTTTATCATTAAAAGGTAACTTTAGTTCATACCTTCCGCAAGGTAGACGTTTATAGGTATTTAAAAAATGTTTCTCGCATTCAACTTCTTCGATAGATTTACCTTTAAATTTAGGGGTATAGGCTGAACTCTCTTCTAATTCCCAAAATTTGCCTAAATTATCAAATTTTCCATTGAAGATCGGGAAATACGCAGGTTTCAGATTTAAAATTGATAGGAAGGGAGAAATTTGAGAACCGATGGAAACTGCAGCTGAGTTATTCTGAGTGCATGCCGCATCTTGAAGCATTTTTGTCTTCGCTAGCGCCTGAAAATACTAATTCTCGAAAGCTTGTAGATTAGGAGCTCTGGAAGGATCAATTTTTTTCCATTCATGAATCACCCGAAATTGCCTATCCAGAAGGGGTAAGACGCTCTTATACCTGACTTCCAGTTCATTCGGAGAGATATTACCGGATGCCAAATACGCGGTAAAGGAATCCAGCTGACCTTGGATCGATTCACTGGTTACCTCCAGAGCCAATGGTCTCACATCGGCATCAGAGTCCATCGTGCGAGAAGGATAAGGAAGGAGAAGGGAAGAGAAAAGGCCAGGAACAGCTAAAATAAAATGAATACTAACATTAATATTTGAAACACCGCGTTAAAGTCATTGATTTTAGACTCACCATAGATGATCATACCAAAGATTGAATAGCAGCACAACCATAAAACAGAAAATCGATATTTCATCGAAAATTCTTACTCTGGAACTCAGTGGGTAGTCATACCGATACTCTGCCATATTCTGACTTACTAAACTAGTAGTCAAGCTCTGGCCAAAGTCACTGTACTGAAGATAGCTGCGCAAACTATCAAGAATCGGTCAGATTCTGCGCCCAATCAGTGGGTAGTCATACCGATACTTTGCCATATTCTGACTTACTAAACTAGTAGTCAAGCTCTGGCCAAAGTCACTGTCGATTGATCGATAGTCAACTGAAGAATCTGGCAGATTCGATACTCATATCGAATCGTCTTGTCTAGATGGAGAAGGTACATGTTAGTAAATAAGTTCATCAATACAAAAAGGGCATACAACAACACACAAATGAAAGAGCAAATTCAATGAAGAGTAATTCAAGAAAAATTCATCAATGACATTCCATGATCCTCAAAGGGGAGTAAGGAAAACAATAATCTTCAACATTAGGTTAGTATTTTCTTCTTAACGAAAATAAAAATGAGAACCCATCAGCTGTTATCTAAACAGATATCGAACAACTGAACCGTTGCCAATTTTAACATATAAAATTATAACTCAGAAAGCATCAGCTGTTATCTGAAAGATATCGAAGTAGCAACTGAACTGCGTTGCCAAACTTCATAATAAAATAAAAAACCTTGAAAACGTCAGATTTAAACAATTTGAAAAGATTCCTTCAAACTTTCTGAAATATTGCCAAAACCTCAAAACAAAGACCACCAGAAATCAATACTGTAAATAAATTTCCTGCGTTGTGTATATCCTGGTCACGGCACCAAAAAATGTTACGCATTTTCTCACAAAAATAGAGGTTAGGCAAGACAAGAATAAAGGAAAGGTGATGGAAACGAACCTTAAGAAAGAAGAATTTGGAAACCCAAATTAAGCTAAAAGAAGCCTTTAATGAAACAAGAAGGCACACAACTTTCTTACCTTATAATAAGGAGTAATTGTAATAAAAAACAAGAATAACTGGGTTTTTACCAAAAAGAAGACAGATCATACAAACATAGATCAAGTTGTAAGACAATATAGAAAAAACATGGTAACCATGGATATATATATGGAACAGCCCCTTGGGAGGGTTTTGGGGGGGAGCCCCCCCGTTTCTCGCAATTTCAAATAGGAAGGGTATGTTTTGACTCTGGATTCGGAATCTACGGTAAAAAATAAGAACATTTTATTCTTTGCATTTTTTCTCTAAACCCCCATTTTTTGGGGTTATGGGGCATTTTCGGGCCTTTTGGGAGCGATTTTCAATTCGATGCTTCAAGCGGCCAAATTATCCAAATTTCAAAATCTAAAAATCCCCTGAGAGGAGAGGTCAATCCCTTTTTATTGATGTGCCACATGACCCCTGTTGCTCCAAAATATTGGGAGCCACGACCCCCCACAAATTTTGGGGCTTTGGAGGGCCGTAAGTCGAAAATGTCAAATGGCAAGGGTATGTTTTGACTTCAGATTTGGATTCTACGCGAAAAGTTACGCAGAATTGAAATGGCGCGTGGCCTATTTGCTCCAAATTACTGAAGAACCCCATTTCCCCATAAGAAGAGGTGTAGTTTTGGAGAAAATAAGGGGTAAAATAAAATTTGAGTAAACAGGCCATGCGCCGTATCAATTCTACGTAATTTTTCGCGTAGAATCCAAATCTGAAGTCAAAACATACCCTTGCCTGTTGACATTTTCGACTTACGGCCCTCCAAAGCCCCACAATTTTTGGGGGGTCGTGGCCCCCAAAATTTTGGAGCAACAGGGGTCATGTGGCCCATCAATAAAAAGGTATTGACCTCTCCTCTCAGGTGATTTTTAGATTTTGAAATTTGGATGATTGGGCCGCTTACAGCTTCGAATTGAAAATTGCCCCAAAAATGCCCCATAACTCCAAAAAATGGGGGTTTAGGGGAAAAAAGCAAAGCACGAAATATTCTAATTTTTTATCGTAGATTCCGAATCCAAAGTCAAAACATACCCTTCCCATTTAAAAATCGCGAGAAACGGGGGGTCTCCCCCCAAAACCGCCCCAAGGGACCATTTTGGGGGGTTGAAAATATTTTCATTTGATTCTTTGGGGTCGGTTTACCCCATGAACGTTTTTGTCCCGAAGCTCAATTCTCCGCCGTTTTCGAGAAAAAGATAGTGGACGGGTGGTCTGGATCACCCTGTATGAATCATCTTACAAAACAAACTAAGAGCTTTCCATTTTTCTTCCCTTTAACTTCCAAAATTTCAATCAAGAGAGAAAAATTCAAACGGAAGTTCACCACCACAATCTCAGCAGCAGAAAGTACCTAACTGTTCGAAAATGAATTAAATAAAAACGGAAAACCATGTTGTACCTACGTAAACACTATGCACCTGCATTTATTTGCACCTAGTTTCTTTCAGTATCAGTACTTCCAATTCTATGAAATAGTATAAGTAAATAAAAAAAATGCACCTTGCTTAATGGAACTTCAAAAACAAGAACAAATGAATGATTTAGCAGCCTTAGAGAAAAATACAAATAATGCTCTCACAAACATAATCATTTCAGAATTAAGAAATCATCTCCTAAAAACCGCTGTAAAAAGTCCAAAAATGCAGCTGGCTCTTGGACTGTGACTGTCCCAAATGGATCTCAGTACAATGAGCAAAAAGTGCTTACTTTGCCTCACTTTAATTGTTTCAGATCTTTTTTTATCTCATTTTATACACATGACCTGTTTATTGCCTTCTCTAATTTCAATTTTTATGTTTGTTTCAGATGTGCCTGTGATTAATTTCATCCTGGACTAGCTATAATAAAGAAAAATGACTCGTGACTCTTTATTATTTTTTTACTTGGATTTCCAATTCCAATCTCCTCTGTCAAATTTTTGAGATTCCTTTAATATAAAAAATGTAGAGAAAAATTGTTTTATTCATCAGATTATTTTAGGTTTTTATTACTACTCTCTGCATCATACTTGCATTTTCTATGCCAGAAGTGCTCAGTTCAGGCGCTAACATTAGTTGGGAAAAAACATGCTCAATTGCTATTGGCAAATACTAATTCCTTTAATGCTACAATTAAACTAAATGAACATGGCCCAACAACTATCATCACATCGTAGCCGTTCTCATTGCCTATCAGGATATCGAAGGAAACCTGCTGAAATTTACTCGGTAAAACACACATTGCTTAGCATCATTTGAAAGTCAACAATAATGTTGAACCTCTATAAATGTAAAACTTACTTTAAAAATATCAAAAAACTACATTATACAGAGTTATTCAAAAGTTACGCACCACTGGCCATAACCTTAGTTCTAATTATGATATCGGTTTGTGGCGTCCTTCCTCATATCGAGGGGGAAACTTTTTGAGGTACTTTCCAGTTCTTCCCCCCCCCCCCAGGGAGGGCGGGGGGCAACTCAAAAATTTCAAATGGCAACCCTCATCATGTGATACATCGTTAGGAAGAGCATGAAAAAAGAAAATTTTTGGCGCAAACCGGAAGTCGATCTGACCCCCCTATCAAAAGTTAGGGGGGTCCAAAGGTTATTTAGGGGGTCCGTACCTTCATTTTTTAGAGTAGCTTCGGCGGCTCTTGGACATACCGTTTCTCTTTTCAAAGAGTCCTCGAATAGGTACTCCAAGTCTGATACCGAAGTCTTCATATTGCCCCCGGGCCACCACAGCCCCCCCGTAGGGGGGGATGGGCCTGTTACAATGAAACATTGCATTAAAAGGCGAAAAGTCACAAAAGAGCTTCAAACTTAGCATCAAATCCGAGTGGAACGTCTTGCCAATGTTAACGCAAACGCAGCCTGCGACTTTAAAGTGAGTTTTCAAAACTCTTAGCCCCCTGCCCCCCTCATTTTTGGTTGCAGAGCGGGTAAAAACCGGGAAATTCACTACAAATAGTGCCCGAAACTAATGTCCAACTTGAGAAGGACCCTTGAAACGTTGCGATCAGTCGGAGCATTGAAATTCAGGGACTGCCGCCCCCTTAAAGTACGGAAACATCCATAAAACTTTCGTTGCGGAGGGGTAAAAACCGGGAAAATCGCCAGAAATGATGCCCGGATACCCCCGGATACCAAGTCTCGTACAAATCCGACGATAAACAGCCTAAATATCCACTTCCCGCTCTAAGCTGCCATTTTAACCGCCGCCATTTTGAAAAGGACTGACATTTCTGGAAAACTAATGCCAGAATCGTTTTTCTCGTCCCGAAAAACCCAAGGATTCTGAGTTTCAGACCAATCCGCGGATAAAACACGGATATGCCAAATTTCCGCCATTTTGTCAAAAATCAACATTTTGACCTGCGGTGTGCGCCAAAAATTTTGTTTTATTATTAACTTTCGAATGAGGTATCACAAAAGAGAGGTTGCTATTTGAAAAAAAAAGTTAGCCCCCGCCCCCCTTAAGGGGGGCCGCCCCCCAAACTTTTGGGGGGACCAAAAAGTTGCTACCTTAAACCGAGGAACATTCCCAAAGTTTCCAACTTCTATCTCAATTAGGAAAAAAGTTACTGGGGTGGTAGGTGACTTTTGGATAACCCTGTATAAATATTCGTCGCCTTAAATGCAGTGATATCACATGAAGTAGACGCAAAGCTTTCATGAATATAAATTGTAAGTTTCTCCTCCCTTCAACATTTAACTACCGGAAAAACGCAAATTACAGACAAAAAAAATAATTTAAAAATATCGATAAAAACTTATCATTTTTTTTTGTACAATTTTACTACAAAAAAATTTGTATCCCTTTTTTTAAATTATTTTTTTTTTGTCTATATTTTGCGTTTTTCCGGTAGGTAATAATGTTGAAGGGAGGAGAAACTTACAATTTACATTCATGAAAGCTTGGCGTCTACCTCATGTGATATCATTGCATTTAAGGCGACGAATATTTTATATTTTTAGCTGGGTGGGTCATTTTTACACGGAAGTGTTTTTGATCGGACAAAAACATTACGAAAAATTTAAGGACCGAGCGCCTGACACCATGTTAAGGTGGTGGGAAAGGACGAGGAGAAGAGGAGACATAATTCAGGTGGACGCCATGACAGTAGTGTATTGACTGAAGGAAGGGGGCCACTTCCACAGGAGCCTGGGCGGCTAGGCGCACATACTTGCCATATCGACAGTTGAAACTTCTTACAGTATTTGAAAATCTCCACTCCTATTTTCTTTTTTTAAAAGAGTACAAATTGACTGATCTTTCCTTGAAGTTCCTGCAGGATTTTCTTCGTAAAGAGGAGAAAAATCACGGCAGTTTTCAAGAACTTCCGTCAAGTGTTTTCCCATTTAAAACATAAAGTATGACAGAAAGTCTGTTACGTCACATACCGAGATAAGTGGTGATTAAAATGTTCTAAATCATACTTACTATGAACTGTTCCTCCGGAAATTGTGCAATTCTGATGACACTGCAACACTAGAGATAAAACTGAGAAATGGTCTCAAACTTGAAGCGAGGACTAAATATTGAGATTTTCGTGAAGAAAGGGTGTGAACTACTATCACAGGAAGACAATTTTTCTTGATCCATCGAAGACTTTTCCTTTGAGATACTGTCATCAATGAGCAGCTTTGACCTCAACAGACGACCGCTCACACTGAGACAGGTGCCCAAAGTTTCTACGCTAGGCTTTTAGGTACAATAATACACACCATTTCGACGGTGTAAGTCGGCAATCACATAACTTGGTTTGCAACGTCGTCGCAGACTTCCTGTCATCCTTGATTTTTTAAACGGAAAACTACTCAACAGCAATTCTTTAAAACTGCCGTGATTTTTCTTGTCTGTGAAAAAACAAGTCTGCATAAACTTCAAGTAATGATGTCACTTTGTCCTCCTTCAAAAAAATAACATAGAGGCGGAGATTTTTTGACACCGCAAACGAGTTATGTGATTGCCGACTTACACCGTCGATTTGTCACTTCAACGATAAATTTAGAGCACAAGTTGTTTAAATAAAACCATAAAACAAGCATAATTTCCGTCTGTATGCTGCAGTCATGAGATGCTGCTCTCGGACAACGATTCCTAACATAGACATTAGTAGACAGAACTGAAATGTAAGCTTTGATTAT